ACAGTATCTATAGTCTTGGTATACAGTATCTATAGTCTTGGTATACAGTATCTATAGTCTTGGTATACAGTATATATAGTCTTGGTATACAGTATCTATAGTCTTGGTATACAGTATCTATAGTCTTGGTATACAGTATCTATAGTCTTGGTATACAGTATCTATAGTCTTGGTATACAGTATCTATAGTCTTGGTATACAGTATCTATAGTCTTGGTATACAGTATATATAGTCTTGGTATACAGTATCTATAGTCTTGGTATACAGTATCTATAGTCTTGGTATACAGTATCTATAGTCTTGGTATACAGTATCTATAGTCTTGGTATACAGTATCTATAGTCTTGGTATACAGTATCTATAGTCTTGGTATACAGTATATATAGTCTTGGTATACAGTATCTATAGTCTTGGTATACAGTATCTATAGTCTTGGTATACAGTATCTATAGTCTTGGTATACAGTATCTATAGTCTTGGTATACAGTATCTATAGTCTTGGTATACAGTATCTATAGTCTTGGTATACAGTATCTATAGACTTGGTATGCAGTATATATAGTCTTGGTATACAGTATATATAGTCTTGGTATACAGTATCTATAGTCTTGGTATACAGTATCTATAGTCTTGGTATACAGTATCTATAGTCTTGGTATACAGTATCTATAGTCTTGGTATACAGTATCTATAGTCTTGGTATACAGTATCTATAGACTTGGTATGCAGTATATATAGTCTTGGTATACAGTATCTATAGACTTGGTATACAGTATCTATAGTCTTGGTATACAGTATCTATAGTCTTGGTATACAGTATCTATAGACTTGGTATACAGTATCTATAGTCTTGGTATACAGTATCTATAGTCTTGGTATACAGTATCTATAGTCTTGGTATACAGTATATATAGACTTGGTATACAGTATCTATAGTCTTGGTATACAGTATCTATAGTCTTGGTATACAGTATATATAGTCTTGGTATACAGTATCTATAGTCTTGGTATACAGTATCTATAGACTTGGTATACAGTATCTATAGTCTTGGTATACAGTATCTATAGTCTTGGTATACAGTATCTATAGTCTTGGTATACAGTATCTATAGTCTTGGTATACAGTATCTATAGACTTGGTATACAGTATCTATAGTCTTGGTATACAGTATCTATAGTCTTGGTATACAGTATCTATAGTCTTGGTATACAGTATATATAGTATGAGATGGTAAAGAGGTATCCTAAATT